TCTGTCGGCATTCACTCACCTCACTGGTTTTGTTTGTTGTTGTTGTTTGTTTCTGGTTATGATAAGTACAGAAGTTCATCCCTAAAGTGGATATTTCAAGCCCCAAAGCTGAGAATTTCTAAACGGCACTTGCATCCTTGTTTAAATGCTTTGGAGATCAGCACTGAGAGCCTGTTCGTTTAGTTCTGAGTGTAGTGCTTAGGCTTTGGGAATGGTGATTCAGGTACAGCACGGTGTACTATGCATATGGAAGTCCCGAGACTTGGGGCCTAGATATTAATTTAGGGGAAAGGCAGGAAGTTCAGGCTTTCTCATATCAAATGAGCATCTGAGCTGCAGGTCACCAGGTCACAGGAGGCGGACAGGAAGAGCAACTTAGAGTTCGCTCTTGTAGAGAGCTTTCCCCGAACTTTTCCCACCGAGCTGCAAGTCCAACTTGCATCTATGCCATAGAAAAAATTCCAGTGTGCTGCATCTGCCTCCCGTGTCAGACCTGGGATAGCACATATTATTCACCACGGCATTACTAGGAATGAACAGATAATTTGACACATGGTAAGTAGGCAATTAGGACATAGCCCGAGTTTTGTGGCTCTGAAGGTTTTATAATTTGTGAGGCTCTCTTTGAAGAAAATAACATTCAAGTTTAAGCGTAAATTCCTAGATATAAATACATATGGGTATTGACACAGAATGGAAAAATAAGTTATACAAATTACTGTTTTGGGGGCTTAGTGGGCTACAAATTGGGCTGCTAACCACAAGGTCAGAAGTTTGAACTCACCAGCCCCTCCAAAGGTGAAAGATGAGACTTTCTACTCCTCAAAAGATGTGCAGACTCCGAAACCCAAAGGGGCAGTTCTACTCTGTCTTACAGGATCTCTATGCGTCAGAATCAGCTCTAGAGCAGTGAGTCTAAGTCAATATCACCAATGTCCTAAGAGATAGATGAAAACCCAACTAACTGCTTAACCGCTTCTATAATACTTTATATTTGGGGGAATATGCTCTTTGAAAGATTTTCATATAATAATGATTTTGTAATATCATTTCTATGCACACTAGCCTAATAGAAAGATGTCCAGTCTTTCCCCCAGCTCTTTATTGCTAATGTTTTTGAAAGAGAATAAAAATCAAACTCACTGCCATCAAGCCAATTCCGACTCATCTCGACCCTACAGGACGGAGTAGAACTGTCCCTTTGGGGTTCCAAAACCAATTCTTTAGGGCTATGTAAACATGTAACCCTATACTGACACATAAACACACCACACTCTTTGTAGCATTGTTTCAGATATGTGCCCTGTAATTAGGAGTTCTGATCATTCTTATTTTACATGATTATCATTAAAAACAATTGGTGCATTGTAGTTGGAAAAATTGTTTATTCTCTATTATTGAGCATATTCTTGTTATGAGAGAAATTATATTAATTAGAAGCAGTTTTTCCTCTTGAAATTTCATATGTTGGTGGCTAGAAAAGTTCTCACAGGTACCTTTGGCTGCTGTAAATCTCATGGCTTGTTTCACCATTGTTGCGGTTGTTGGCTCAACTCCCAGCCACCCTATGTTCAACAGAACACAACACCGCTCAGTCCTGAGCCATCCTCACAGTTGTTCTTATGTTTGAGTCCACGGTTGCAGCCACTGTGTGGGTCCATACCTCCAGTGTGTGTTTTCCGTGTGACTAGCCATAGGATGCGTTCATATCTTAGTTAGACTCCTGGTGCGACTTCTTGGGCTATTAATCCTTCTAAGAGCTCCTCACAATATTTGTGTAGATTACAACCTCAGAAACCCTATGGAGGGAGCCCTGCTCTGTTTTAAGAGGTCACTGGGAACCAGAAGCACACCAGCCTATGAAATCATGAGGTGTCGAAGGGATCAGGTATAAGGAATCATCAGAACAAAAAATTTTACCATAGTGAATGATGGGGGGAGTGCAGAGTGTAGACCCAAAGCCCATTAATAGGCCACTGGAGATCCCCTTGCAGAGGGGTCTCAGGGAGGAGATGAGCCAGTCAGGGTGCGATGTAGCAACGATGAAAAATATGACTTTCCTCTAGTTCCTAAATGTTTCCTCCCCACTCCCACTACCATGACTCGAATTCTACCTTGCAAGTCTGGCTAGACCAGAGGATGTACACTGGTACAGATAGGAACTGGAAATACAGGGAATCCAGGGCGGATGAGCCCTACAGGACCAGTGGTGTGAGTGGCGATACAGGGAGGGTAGAGGGAGAGTGGGTAGGAAAGAGGGAACCGATTACAAAGAACTATATGTGACCTCCTCCCTGGGGGGCGGACAACCGAAAAGGTGAAGGGAGACGTCGGACAGGGCAAGATATGACAAAATAACAATTTATAAATTATCAAGGGCTCATGAGGGAGGGGGGAGCTGGGAGGGAGGGGAAAAATGAGGACCTAATGCCTGGGATTTAAGTGGAGAGAAAATGTTTTGAGAATGATGAGGGCAATGAATGTACAAATGCGCTTTACACAATTGATGTGTGTATGGATTGTGATAAGAGTTGTATGAGCCCCTAATAAAATGATTTAAAACAAAACAAAACAAAATTTTTAAAAATATCTTTACACTAATAGTTATGACTAGAAGGCTATGTAACAATCTTTCCCAATTGAGCAAAGAGGGATTCTAGCTGGATTAACAATAGTTCATCTCTATTGTGCATAGTAGTATCATCGGCAACACTGTAGAAAGTCACTGTGAACCAAAATTATTACTCTATGGCAATGTTGAAGAAAATTAAAAAAAAACACTTTACACTAATAGTTATGGTGCTAGAAGACTATGTAACAATCTGTCCCAATTGAAGAAAGAGGGATTCTAGCTGGATTAACAATAGTTCATCTCTACTATGCATAGTAGTTTCATCAGCAACACTGTAGAAAGTTTCAGTATTGAGGACTTTACATATCATGATTCCAGTGTCCTTCCACAAAGCAAGACGCCCAGCCATTGAAGAAATATGAAGCCTGTTGGTGTTTTTCTTGAAGGAATTATTATTTAAAACCACAATTCATAAGAAATGTTGCTGGTCCCATCCAGTCTTATCCCCAGAAAAACTTCCCCAACAAGCCCTTCTCTGAGCAGACTCTGAGATCTAGGAGCTGGGTCACAGTCCCAGAGAGGGACACATCTGGCAGTCATTTAACATTCCTTTTAGGAGATAAACTATTCGCAAGGCCTTCTAGCTGGAGGGAACAGTGCTCCATTATTTCTTTGCTATCACATTCTCTTTGAGCTTTCTGATGAGCATACCTTTGATGGAAATTCTCCCATAAAACAATAGTGCTAGCATTGGCAAATGCACTTGGCCTTACACCAGTGAGTTCGCCTAGCTTTTCCCCTATTCTCGCATATTCACAGAGAAGGAAAAAGTATTTACAAAAGAGAAAGTACGGGTAAATCTCGAGGGACAGTGTGGGATGAATTTAGTTGAAGAAAACTTCAATTAACTTCAAACTTAAATTTATGGGTTAAATCATCTAGAAGAAATCCGGGCCAGTGTCTTGCGCTGCTAAGGGTTTTGGAAAGCTGTTGTAGCTTCGCAGGGAAGCTCAAATGCCACCAACTGGTTCTGAAATGACTTCTGCTTAGCCAAGTGCCATCCAGTCATTGCTTCTTCTGGGTGCGCCTAAATCAGAGGGGTGACCCTTAGGGTCTCTTCTTCCCCTAGTGAAAACTACTCCACCAATTGCATGTGCATCTCACTTACTTGTGCACAAGGTTCAGTGATGAAGGGTGGCATATCACTTCCCTGATTTCTACACTCTCCTGGCAGCTTGGCTTTAAATAAGCAAACAAAACCCAAGCACTTGGGAGTGGCTGGGATCTTTTGAGATTATATATATACACACACACATATATTTTACATACCAAGCGATAAGACATTTGAAAAATATGGAAGGAAATTAAATGTAGACATTTATTATGAAGTCTTAACCTTTCCAGATTTCAGGGACATCTGTTAGTAACTACAAAATATACATATATCTAAATTTTTTTTAAAAACCTTGTTTTGAGCATTTACAAAGAGTAAATGATTCAACCGTGCTTGTTTTGTCCAATGTCTTTTGTGGAAGAGGGATCGCGCAGTAGTAGGAAACAGGGAGCTTTACGACCTTCTAAACTCGCTGGCTGGGAAAAGTTACTCCCACGTCAAGCAGCCGGCCTGCAAGGAGAACGTGGCGGCGCGTGACAGAGACCGCCCCCTCTCCCTCCGCCTTTGAAGATTAGGCCCCGGGGCGAGCGCGCCTTTTGCAGGACTGGGTGACAAGGAGCTGGGGGCCGCTGGGGGTAGGTGGGCAGGCAAGCAGGGCAAGGCACCCTGGCGCTGCGGTTTGCTAAGTGTGCTCATAAACTTTCCTTCCAAGAGTTGGAAAATTGCTTACGTCCACGTTCAGTGGGACAGAAAACTAATCAGTAGCAGAACTCCAGCCACTACTCCTCACCCTCCAAAAAATTAAAAGAAAGTAAACAGGTTGCAGCGTGAACTCCTTTGGGCGGGAAGAGCGGCGTCCAGAGCGGAGTGCGGCGCGGGTC